GGGTTTGCCAGTATTTTTTTGGGGGGGATTTTTTGATCTATTCATAAGGGATATTGGTCCGAAATTTTTGTGTGATTTCTTTGTCTGATTGGTATCAGTGCAATCCTTGCCTTATTGAGCAAGTTGTAAAGTGTTCCCTCTTCTTCTATATTTTGGAATAGCTTCTGAAGGATTACTCTTTAAATATTTGGTGAAATTTACCAGTGAAGATATCTGGGCCTGGGCTTTTCCTTGGGGACAGGCTTTTTTCTTGCTAATTCAATCTGTTTACATATTTTAGAGCTATTCATATTTTTTATTTCTTCTTGAGTCAGTTTAGGTAGTTTTATTTTTGTAAGTATTTGCCCATTTTATCTGTCTTATCTAATTTGTTAGCATGCAGTTGTCTATAGTATTCCTTCTTATTTCTGTTTATTTCTGTAAGGTTGTTAGTGATGGTTCTTTTACTCTTGATTTTATTAATTTAAGTCTTGGCAAAGGTAATTTAGATCTTGATTAAAGAAGTGCCAATTTTGTTGATCTTTTCAGAGAACCAGCTTATGGTTTCATTGATTTTCTCTGTTGATATTCTGTTTAGTTCTGCTCTAATCTATATTATTTCCTTTCTTCTGCTTGCTTTTGGTTTAGTTTTCTCTTCCTTTTCTAGTGTTATGCCTCTACTCTTGCCCCACCTTTTCCAGCTCATCATCCTCATTTGTTGCCATATGCCTAAAATCTAATTGCTCCCATTCTTTTTACAAAGTAAAATTCAAATTCTGTTGAATGGCAAACAAGGTCATTCATGATCTTGACCAGGTTATCTTACCAATCAAATCTACCTTTCCACTCACATCAAATAACCTGGAATTATGTATTTTTTACCTTTATTCTTTTGTACATGTTCTCTCAATGTGTGCTTTTCTCCTACTGACTTTTTAGAAAATGCTTTAACTCCAGTCACCTACAATGTTTGCTTAGTTATTTCCTCTTCCCTACTACTACCATTTGCACTTAGCACAAACTTCTTTTGGAACACTTATCGAATTATTTATTAATATATGCCTTCATTGTTCTGTGAATTACAGGATGTGAGATCCCGCCTTAGAATTATATCCCAGTAACTCACACATAGTAGTGGGTGCTCAATATATGTCTGTGGAAGTGAGCAGGGGAAAAAGTGGTATAGTTTGGTATCCCTTCGAGTGGGAAAATGAGAAAATGGACGACGTACTGCAGCAAGTGAAATAGAAAAAAGCACTGGAAAATGGTCTTTCACTGCATTAGGCTTTGGTTCATAACACCGAGAATACTGATATTTTTGTGCGATGAATCAACTTTTCAGCCGAGAGATCACTCAAATCCTCATTTTACTAAACTGGAAGGTAAGTTGAAGAATTCGTAAAAGGTTAAGCAGACTGCAGGTTCCTACAGCGACTATGCCGGAGAAGTTTTTTGGTAGTCTTCAGTGCCTCCCCTAATCTTTGGGCAAACCGTCAGCGGTGGCAGAGGCAGGAGCTGAGACAGAAGAAATCTAACACACAACCCTTTCCCTAATTTTCGCCCTTCAAGTCTAGTTCGGACGCTTGTGCACTCATTGCGCATGCGTTATTTTTTTTCCTCTGGAATGGGCGGGGAAAAGCCTTTGCTCCTTTGGCGATCCTGAGGAGGGTGGAGCCAAACTTTCTAAGGTGACGGAGCAGAGGCCTCGGTGGTCGATTGAGCAGGTCTGAGCGAGGTTCCCAGAGGGCTGCGGGTTTTCGGGTTGTCGGCGGTGTCATGGCGGGTGCGCTGAAGAAGGTAAGACGAATGGAGGTCACTATTGGAATTTAGATTGTGGGGTAGAATCAGTCCGTTAGGCCCCTTTCCCACGGCTGGTGGCCGTAACCGGCGCGGGCTCGGCGGTGCTTTCTGGGGTCTCGTTCTGCACTGCCCTTATCGGTGACCAGGTTAGTGGTTTCGCTCAGAGGGGTAAAAAAAAAAGCTCCGAACAAGGGGGACAGAGTAGCTAACTGGCTTTAGAATAGTTTTACTCAGGGCGGTCGTGCTTTTGCTTTTCCTTAGCATGGTGAACGCGTGGAAACCATAATAAACGGCATGAATCGTGTTTTGTTTTTGAACAGACTACTGGCCTTGTGGGATTAGCTGTATGTGAGACTCCACACGAGGTATGTACCTCTTTTCTTTTTTCATTCTTGAGTTCTCAAGGAAGACTAGAATCCTGCGACCTTGATTGTTGCAAGGTTAATGGGATACTGATATTTCAAGCCCCAAATTACAATCCCACGTGAGCTCTTGAGAC